TATATATAAAATGAGGGATCCGTTTACTCTAAGAATATGTCTATAACTTATGTTCTACGTCAAGTTTCAAAGATCCAATTGTTGAATTTAAAGTTCTTAATGCATAGAATAAATCTGCAAATTTTAAAAAAATTTGAAAGCTATTTAATACTTTGTTTCATTAATTCAAATAAATGTATAAAATGATTTTATGATTATCTATTAATTTGAATTAATGAAATGAAGTATCAAATGATTTTCAAATTTTCTAAAAATTTGTAGACTTAATCTATGCATTAAGAGTTTTAAATTCAACTGTTGGATTGTTAAAATTTGATGAAGAATATAAGTTACTGAATGGAATAAGTCTAAATAAACTTACTCCTGGAATAAATAGATCTCTTCTATATATATATATATATATATCACTACTAGATTCTAATCTTTTAGTAACATTTTCTTGTTTACATTTGTTAAAATGTTACTATATATTAAATAAATATGTTATTTTGTAATATTTTTTTTAAAAATGTCATTATAGATAGAATAACGTTTTTTATTTCAATATTATTCTTTCTAATTGTTTTCAAAATCAAAGTCCCATATCGAGTAAAAATTTTTTACATAAGTTATTTTGCAACATTTCTTTGAAAAATGTTACTATAATTGCTTCTAAAATCAAAGTCCCACATCGAGTTAAAAAAAGTATATTTCTTTTATGTCTAATTGTAACCCATAATTAAAGTCTCACATCAAATAGATTAATGACTCATAAAGAGTATATATACTCATATAGTTATATTTTAAGATATATGAAATTTGATATTCTATATATAATTAGTGATGAGTAACTAAAAATGTCTTTCCTTTCCCTAAAAACATAAGGAACTCTTAGAAGTTTAAGAGACATAAAAATATAATAATTGAATTTAATATTTAAATTAAAATTAATTATTAATTTTATAAAGTTAAAAAATCTTGGCAACATCATTAAAATGTTACAAAAAATTATTAAAATGTTACAAAAATACTACTTTGGTAACATTTAAAATGTTACCTAATTATGCAAAAATGTTATTAAAAGTCTTTAGCAACATGAACTATATACAACATTTGATAATATGTTGCTAAAACAAATTAACATTGATACATAATTAAGTAACATTTTTCAAATATTATTAAATACCATTTGTGTTGTATATAATTTTTCTGTCAGTTTTTATAATTACAATTTTCAACATTTAACATCAAATATTATTTATTAAATTGAATTTGTGTTACAAATTGTAATACAGATAAATAAAACAAATAATTTTTTTTATTAGAGTACTTCACTTTGTCAATTTATGTTTATATTATTAAAAATTAATTAATAAATAAAACATGTTAGATACAGGTCTAGAGTTACATAACTCATGAAGTCATAAACATTGAATGTTGAAACTTCAACATATTTTTTTTACGTAAAAGTAAAAACTAGTTATACATATTATTATGAAAATTAATTAACAAATAAATAAGTTTTTACTTTCACGTATTTCGTTTACTCTCACTACAACAAAAATAGTTTTTAATAATATTTAAAAAATATTACTTAATTATGTATAAATATTACTAATTTGCTTTAGCAACATATTATCAAATATATAATCTATGTAACCCCAAGTGTGTGGTTCAGCGGTAGGGGTTGATCCACGCTTAAGCAAGGTCAGGGGTTTGAATCCTGCCTTGTGTATGCAGCCGCGTTAAATCTTGGGGCCAGCTATCCCACCCGATACTCCAGGGACACGAACCAAAAGAAAAATATATAATCTATGTTGCTAAAGACTTTTAATAACATTTTTATATAATTAGGCAACATTTTTCAAATGTTAGCAAAATAGTATTTTTGTAACATTTTAATGATGTTGCCAATATTTTGTTAATTTTATAAAATAATAATTAATTTTAATATAGATTTATTACTATTAATTATTATATTTCTATGCCTCTTAAACTCCTAAGAGTTCTTTGAGAGAAGATTAAAGACATTCTTAATTAGTTAAGATTAATTATATATAAAATATCAAATTTTATTTATCTTAAGTATAACTATATGGTTATATATACTCTTTATGAGTCATTAATCTATTTGATGTGAAACTTTAATTATGGGTAACAATTAGATATAAGAGAAATATACTTTTTTTACTCGATGTGAGACTTTGATTTTAGAAGCAATTATAGTAACATTTTTCAAAAAAAAAATGTTGCAAAATAACCTATGTGAACTTTTTTTACTTGATATGGGACTTTGATTTTGAAAATAATTAGAAATAATAATATTGAAATAAAAATGTTACTCTATCTATAATGACATTTTTAAAAAATGTATTGCAAAATAACCTATTTATTTTATATATAGTAACATTTTAACAAATGTAAACAAGAAAATATTGTTAAAGATTTAAAATCTAGCATGCGATGCACACGAGTAAAAACCTAATATTGTTAAATATAAAAAGGTTGGGAAAAAAAGTATTAAAAACACTTCCATTTAAAAAAAAGAGCTAAAATACTCTCGTTAAAAAATAGGTTGATTTGAGATAACTATTATAATTTAATATATAGAGTAAAATCCAATTTATATATAGAGAAGATATATAGAAGAATATGTATCTATTATTTTCAAATTATCATTAAAATATAATTTTATTAACCAAAATAATTTTTGACATTTTTTTAAAAATCATTGCTTAAT